TGGGATTTGTAAGTGGATTTAGAGTCTAGGCTTATTTCTGTGGTACAGGACCAATCCATCCACTGCAAAGATATCATCGCTGACTTTCCCTCTAGTGGGGTAAGTAAAAATTTCCCTAATGAATTTCCAAAACATCTTTTAGAGAACGGTATTGCTGTCATTCAGAACAAGGATTCTCACCTTTCAGACAACTCTGGGGCAACTGCTAAGGGCCAACCTACTTCTTGTCTCCTCTGCTGTGAAAGTTTGTGTGTGTGTGTGTGTGAAGATCATGCTCTGTAGCTCAGGCTGACCATGAACTTGCAACTCTCTTGCCTCGGCTTCCCAGAATGGTGTGCATCACCATGCTTGACTGCCTTTCTCTATTTTTGAGTTAAGAAAGGCTCTTCGTAGCAAGGCATATTGATACACACCTTGACTATATAGAGTCAAAGATCAGCCTGGGCTACATGAGACCATCTCAAGACCAAAAGGAGAAAATAAAAATAAAGGAAGACCCTTGGTTGGCTGACTTCTGTAACGTCTGTTTAGTTATTTTTTATGCATTCTACATCATTAGACTATTCTAAGGCTCTGTTCATTAAATAACCATGCTCTGGTAAACTGTAGGCTCTTGAGACACTCTGCTTTCTAAAGAGGCTGGGAGTACAGCTCAGTGATAAGTGCTTGCCCAGCATGCATGAGGCCCCACTGCCTTCAAGCCTCAGTACTGCACAAATTACAGACCCTCGGGTTCTTAAGCTCTCTATCAAAAGAATCAGAGGGACAGTTTGCAGGAACTTAAATGAACCAACATATGGAGTGAGATCAAGCTAACTCAAGTGGGAAACTCTCAAGTTTGCCAGGTGGGGAGGAAGGGCCCTGGTTTTTAAATGTCATTGCTGCAGAGGTGTTCTAGTTGCACCTGCGTGAACCATGTCACACTTCGAGTGTCACATAATCTTGGGGTGTGATCTTCACTATTGTAAGGTTACAGTAGTACACTTGAGTGTCATTCCACCAATGCTTGTGACCCTTCATGACTGGGAGAGAGAAGGCTAACAGTGTCTTACAGCAAGTTAAGTTAAATGCTTAGTACATTTGAAAAACTAAACTGCTAATCCACTGTTAGATTAATAATTTGTCTTTAAAGAATGCAGTGCTGGGGACTGAACTCATGACCCTGTGTAGGCAAGCACTTTACCAAAGATATACCCCCAACTCCTATTTTTCTTACTCTATCCCCTACAGGCTTGTTGACCAGTTTTTAAATTACCTTGTGTTTTGTTTGAGGAGTGCAAACGTGGCATGGTGTGCACTGGAGGGGTCTGAGGACAACTTGAGGGAGTTCTCTCTTTCCACCAAGTGGGTCCCAGAGAATCCAACTCAGGTTGTCAGGCATGGGGGTAAGTGCATTAACCCAACAAGCCATTTAACCAGCCTGACTACAGGTTTTGGTTTTTAATTTTTATTTTTAACATGTATGTTTTGCCTGCATATATGTAAGTGTACCCATGTTATGCAATGCCTATGGAGGCCAGAAGAGGGCATCAGATCTCCTGGAACTGGAGTTATGTAGAGTTGTTAGCTGCCATGTGGGTGCTAGGAACTGAACCCAGGTACTCTTAACTATTGAGCCATCTCTCCAGCTTTTTATTTTTTTTATGTGCAATGCCTGTGGAGGACAGAAGAGGCTGTCGGATCTCCTGGAACTGGAGTTACGGACAGTTGTTAGCTGCCATGTGGGTGCTGGTATTCAAACCCAGGTCTTCTGTAAGAACAACCAGTGTTCTTAACCACTGAGCCATCTCTCCAGCCCCTCTTTTTATTTTTTTGAGACAGGTATCACTATGTAGCCCTGTCTGGTCTTGAACTCACAGCAATCTGCCTGCCTCTAGAGTGCTGGGATGTGTACCACAATGCTGGACCAGTTTTTGGAGGCTGATTTCTTTAATGCTTTGCTTCCCAATATTTGCTCACTTTTAGTTCAGAAGCTGTCCCCCTCACCTCCCCCCAAAAAGCTGACAGTTTGAAAGGAGTTTGGAAAACAATATTCAAAATCGGTTCACATTGCAGTCTGTAAAATTAGGGGCCCAAGAAAATTAATTATAATCACAGTTCTTAAATTTTTGTTAAATACCCTTTCATAGGTCTAATCTAGTTTTTACCCCAAATAACTTACACAACTGGTGTAACTGAAAGCAGTGTATGAGGGACTAGCAAGATGGCCCAGTAAGTAAAGTTCTTGCTACCCAGTTCTGATCACCTGAGTTCAATCCCCCACCTAAAGGTGAGGGAACAGACTCCAGGAGTTGTCTTGTGACCTCCAGTGTTCTCCCCTCCATCATACACCCACACACATTAAACAAAAAAAAAAAAAAAAAAAAAAAAAAAAAAAATATGCCCTGACCTATAGCCTTACTAGGGGCGATATAGAAATTTACATTTCTAGAATCAGAAGCGGTATATGCTTGAAAACACTGTAAATGCATTTGTCTGTGGAAGTGTAAAAGACCATGAAAATCCAAGCTAAGAACATGTTTCATCATTGGTAAATATTTTAAACTCTTCCTCGAAAAGCACCCCTCCTTTACACCACCTTTTAATACCATTATACAGTTTTTTTTAAAAAAGCCACCAAAACACCAGCTCCCACACCTAAGTCAAGAGTAATTCTTTCTGTTGGTTTTGTTCTAGAACATGTGCAGAGTGCTCGGGAACATAGTAGGCTTCTTGGACTGCAGTAGCAGGCTGTGAACTCCCACAACAGACGCGTCCAGACCCCAGCTCCCGCTCTTTCTAGAGGCGGAGGCCTCGGCCCGAGGGCATTCAGCTTAAAGCTCCCGCGGACGCCAGAAGTGCCTTCCGCACTGGCGCAACCGGGCTCCACTCCCTACCGGAAGTGACGGGGAGAGACTGATGGTGCCCGCCACACTTCCGCCGGGGTGGTAGTGCTGACAAACCTTCACTCCGAGGGGAGGCTGGAGACCCGGTCAGTACCGCAGTCAGGCACTAGTCTATGCCACCCCACCCACTTCCGACCGCCTGTGTGGCGTGCTTCCGGCTAGCTTCCGCCCAGGGGCTACCCAGTACTCCATAGGGAATTTCCACGTGCACTTCAACCGAATTCGGCTGCCTTCTGCAAATTAAGACGCAATCATTTCGAGTTACGGTTTCTGTAACTCAAATCTAAGAAACCGACGTTAGGAAGATGGCTCAGCTGGGTAAGAGCCTGCTGTGAAAGCCTGAGAGGGAACCTGTTTGAATCGGGAACATCTACTCACCCACGTACAGTGCCCATCAGGGTTGCCCCAGACAAGTAGATGAAAGTTCACTAGCCAGCCAAGCTAGCTGTCATGGCCAGCTTTCCCTTCAGGGAGACCTGACACTAGGTCCTCTGCGCACACACAAGGGTGGTACACCTGTATTCATCACCTAATGAACCAGGTAACACCATTTAAAAAGTATATGAACAAATTTGAAAGTTCAGGGTGTGATATGGGAGGGCTTCAATTCTGAGCGCTAGTAAATAAAAGCCAACAAATGTGGGTTCAGAACAATTTGTTAGATTTAGGAGTGCAGAAAAGGAATTTAGCTGAGTGGAGCAGTTTGGACTTATATAGGAACTCTGTTGAATGCAGCTGTAGGAATTTGCTTCTGCCAGCTCGAGGGTCTCTCACCCAAGGTTATTTCCTCAGGCAGGCAAGCTACCTTAGGATTGGCTGCTGTCTCCAGGGGGACCAGCTGATAAAGCTTGAGACAGGACAGACCACCAATTTAGGGACTTTAAAGGACTTAGGGCTTTCCCTAATGAGGGAATTCACATTCTATCAACTGGTCCTCATGACAAAGAACCAAGATCATTTTCACAACTTGGTCTAGGTTGTAGTTTGTATCTAGTGGTACCTTTCATACAACACTGAATGTATACCACTAGCATGTCAGGTTGTTGATGGGCCCCAACCTTCTGATTAACACACAAGCACCAAACTCTTGGCTGTATATTCTGGTACATGAACAAGGCAGCTCATCAGAGCCAGTTGCCTCTAAACTTAAGGGGATGGGGCAGCTTCTTCCTGATTGGGTGGGTATCTTATAGAGGGAAGCTGGAAGCCAGCAAGCCCTGAGCATTTAATGGACCAGTGATCACCTTCTCCAACACTCAGTGCCTGAATGGCTGGGTGAGCTTCACTCTGACTCAGCGACCATGCTGGATCCGTTTTGTTCTTTCCACCCTCACATTCATTTTCTTGATACTGCCTCTAGACTCCCACTAGTCCTAAAACCACAGCCTGCCCAGAGCAGCTCTTGTCAGAAACAAAGCACTACTGATTCCTATTATCTACTGACTGAACCAAGTTCCATACAATTCTCTAAAGCCTTAACTGAAAACCCACTTTTACCTTTTTCCAATTTAGGGGTGGTGCAAACCCCAACACAGCAATACTGTACACCTGAGCACTACGCCATGCAGATTCTTCTCAAATCAAGTTTCTCACCCATCCACAACAATTAAAAATGTTTATCCTTAATCGTCAATTTGCTTTGAACATGTCAATGCTGTTGTAATGAAATGCTTCTAAGTATGTGGTTTTATTAATTTAAAAAAAATTACTCTGCTGGGCATAGCATGCTTTTAATCCCAGCAGAGGCATGACCCTTGAAAAGCACCTGGGTTCTGGCCCTCAGGTGTTGAGATATTTTGAACTAGAGGTAATGATGTATCAATTCGTTGACTATTAAGAAAATTCAAAGGGGGGCTGGAAAAGATCGGCCAGCAGTTAAGAGCAGAAGACCTCAGTTCCCAGGTACTCACACAGCAGATGTCTGTAACCCCAATTCCAGGGGATCTAACACCCTCTGATCTCTGTATGAAGTGTTTCTGATTGTTAGGGTAGGGCTAGCTCTATCATACTGAGAATAATCAATAAAGTCCATGCTTCTCACTTTTCTAGGACCTGTTGGGCAGGTTTCCAACATATAGACAAGGGTGGAGAAATGCCAAAGAACCTACACGCAGATCACATGAAAACAATGTTAGCGTTTAATGAACCTCCCCTGTGTGGCTTCAAGCCACCAGGACACAGGCACCCCCAACACTCTTAATCTTCTCCTCAGCTCTTCTGCTGAAGAATTTGGCCTTCACGATCACGGGCTGCTTAGGGAGCTTTCCCTTCCCCAGAACTTTGTAGTAGCCCTAAAAGAAGAGAGTAAGATTTATAACACACTACAGCAGATACCAACTCCCTGACAAGTCTGAGTAAAGAGGCCACCATCCCAGACTCTAGATTCAGGCAGGACATGTTTCTGATCAGGGCACCAAAAGGGACACTGACTGCCCCAACCGGTGAACCAAGACCAGCAGATCCTCTCTGAGAACTCTAGCACACCAGGACAAGTAATCATGTCAGGATGTGACTCTAGTCTCAGGAAAGCACAGACCTTTTTCCTGCTCAACTATCCCCCACCCACTATGTTAAAACACAAAGCAAAACAACCTGCAGGTACATTCCTAGCAATGCTCCAAGTTCTGGCCACCCACACTGCTCAAAAAACATCAGAGGCATGCTGGGAAGGAGGACTTAAAGTGTGACTTAAACAGTGAAGGAGGACTTAAACAGTGAAGAGATGTCTCTCTTCAGGGAGTATAAGGCCCTAAATAAAGAACATTAGGACTAATCTGCAAGGAACACGAAGGGCCAAGAGCTGTATCTCAAAGACGATTCTGAATCAACTAGCACAAGCCAAGAAAAACAAGCCTGTTAGAACATGGACACTGGGGAAAGAGATTACTGACTAGAAAGACACTCATGTGGAAGTGAAAGGGAGATTTAACCAACCTTTTGCTAGAAATAAAAGCAAAACATTTGGTTACCAAATTCCCACTCCAGAGAAGAGACATGCATGCCTGACACCTTCAGATGTCAATTACAGGTGGATTCTTCTAGGTAAGTGGTAAGCACAGGTTAGACTTCAGATGGGAGATGAATGAGGTTTTATAAGGATAATAGCAAGAACTCACCGATCGCACCACATCAATGATGGGGGCAACGCCAGCCTTATTTTTGCCAGCATTTACCCGTGTCTGTTCACTGACCAATGTCCATAATTTATCAAGGTTGACAGTTGGGCAGAAGCTCTGGTTCCTCTTTAAGTGGTAATGCCTCATACCAACTTTCCCAAAGTAACCTGGATGACTGGGGAGAGAAAGCAACCACATTCATATCTATCATTTTTATAGCTGCCTCCTGCAATGTAGATTTTCACTGGGGTATAACCTGACAGCAGGCACCTAATACTTATTTTGAACTAAATCTCATGTTACTGAAGAAGTCGGGTCACTCAACAGCAGTCTGAGAAACTTACACTTCTCTAAGAGGATTCCTAAAGTCAAAACACACCACCTCCAACTGGTGGCTATAGGCAAATCTGTTAATCTGATGCATGTCACTAACCTGGTGACTGACTGTGCCACAAGGCCCACAGCCAGTGAATAAGGTCAGCAGTTACTCTTCGAGGACTCTAGCACACTAAGGCAATAGCCAATACCCAAGCGTGACTCTAGCCTCGATGACAGGTTCCCTCAGTTCACTAACTTGCTAAAGCCAGCATTAAGCAGTTAAGAAACTTGTTTCCTGGCGGGCGTGGTGTCCCATGCCTTTAATCTTAGCACGCAAGAGAGAGAGGCAGGGGAGGTCTGGAAACTTATCTCCAGAACTTCCCTGCCCTACCTCCAAAGCTGCCGGTGTCAGTTAAAAGCTAACTCCAAGACATACTCACTATTTGTCGAAGTTGATCCTGTGGTGATGCATGCCACCAGCATTACCACGGCCTCCTGGGTGCTTCCGGTGTTTCCCTGCAGACACACAAAGCTACATGGCTATCACAGCCTTCTCTGGCTGCCCCATACCAACGTGAACAAAAGCAGCAATACCTCACTTATGTGCCTTGCTTAGTCTGTCCCCAGCCTTCATCTTCAACATGGCTACTATTTAAGACTCAGGGTCAAAACATCTTTCCAGGGCTCCACGTCCCAGAGCCATGTCTCCAAACTAACTCAACACTTCAGCCCCCTACCAACAGGTCTCCTTAAACTGGACGAGAGGCTCTTCAAACTGAGTAGCTGCTGTTCAATCTGACTTGGCAACACGCTTTACTCGCCTCGCCTCTGTTCTACCTCCCAACACCGAAATACAGTCCAAACCCAAAGGCCCAACACAAGTGGAGACAGGCACTTACCGATGCGGCCGTGGCCGTGGCTCACGTGGCCCCGGAGTTTCCGGGTCTTCCTCAGTCTGGATGGCTGTATGGGAAAAGCAGCTTAGTGGTTAGACCTGGGAGAAGGGGGAGGCGCCATGCTCGCCACCCAGAGATCGGCCTGCAATCAAGGGCCTGCCTTCTGTAGCATTTTGCAAGGCTGGCGTTTCCGACCCGGTAACTCTCATCCACGCGGCGCCCTAACCCTCGTGTTCCAGAGATCCGAGGCCGGGCGGGAACACGTGGCCCCGACCTCTGCACCCCAGCCATCCCGCCCCACCCTGGGCCGGCCACGCGCATCCCGGAAGACCCGGGCGGACACCAGGGGAGAGCGGCCGGGGGACGAGGGGAGCAGGGCTGAGCCACCGCACCCAGGACAGAGGAGGCCGCGGAAGGAACACCTACCATGGCGGCTGCCGAAAGGAAAGAGGGAGGGCTCCGTGAAGTCTCGCGAGGTAGCGAGCGCGGGGGCGGGATTACTGTGCCTCATCTCCGGCCTAGGCGGAGCTGCTGGTGGCACGGGCTTCCGGCGCCCCTGGTCGGGCGGGTGCATCGTTTTCCCAGGGTGGGCGGTGTTCTGGCGTCGCGACCTCGGAGGCGGAGCTCGCTGCGCTTCCCTGGGTCTGGCGTCGCGGGGACTCGGGCTCCTGGACGCGAGGGGATGGTCGTGGCTGCCCCGTCGCGGCACAGAGTCCCTCCCGGGTCCACCCGTGCAGGCCTGCTGCGGCTTCCCACCAGGCGGTCTATAGTACCTGCTGCCCGCCCTTATGCCGCGACACTGTCTGCTGTGTTTCGCTCTTGGCCTGTCATCATGGACTATCTCAAGTTTAAACAGTCTGCTGTGCTTTGGGGACCTACAGCCTAAACTAGTTTGTATAGACGCCGAGGCCACATTTGAACGTTCTAGAACCTCTCAGGATGCTCCTGGTCCCCCTTCTCTTGGACTAGAGAGTCCCAGCCGGGCCTGTATCCCGTGCAAGAAGGTACTCCCCGGACTTTGACTAATGCAGAGAAAGAGTTGCTCACTTGTACCACCACACAATCTGGCACATAACTCAGTTACCACATTATACATGTCTTTTCTACTGAGCCCTAATTTTTTTTGGAGACAGTCTCCCTGTGTCCCCAGCTGGCCTGGAACTCTATGTAGACCAGGTTGGCCTCCATCTTACAGAGATCCACTTGCCTCTGCCTCCTCAGTGCTGGGATTAAAGGCCAGCGCCACCCCGCCCAGCTTTGGACCCAAATTCTTTAAGGGCTCAAGGATTGCATATTTGTTTTTGTCCTTAAATTCATGTGCTCCCAGTTCCTGGCATGTAGTATATGTTCAAGAAGTGAACATTTCCTAAATTAATATAGAAATCATCCCTTCTGTGCACAAGATCCTGTTCCCTACCTTATTTTTTGTTTCCTAATTCCTGGTCCCTACGGTTGTATCAAGATATACACTCAGAAGGATTTGGTGTTAGGATCCACAAATGGGGGAGAATATACTTCTGTTTTTCTGAGTCTGTGTTCACTGAGTATAACAGTTTCTAGCTCCATCCATTTGCCTGCAAATTTCGTTCTTTCATCTTGCTGAATAGAACTCCATTGTTTAAATGTACCACATTTTCATTAGCCAGTGCTCAGTTGACGGGCACTTAGGTTGCTTCCATCTCTTAGCTATTGTGAAAAGAGCAGCAACAAACATGGTTGTGTCTCTGCAATAGGATGAGTCCTTAGGGTATATATGCCAAGGAGTTATATAACCGGGTCGTATGGTAAGTTCACTTTTAGTTGAGTTCTCTACACTGCTTTCCATAGGGGTTGCACTAGTTTGCAATCCCACTAGCAGTGAATGAGCGTTCCCCTTTCTCCACATCCTCACCAGCATTTGGTATCATTTGTTCTCTTAATCTTAGCTAGTCTGATTGGGGTAAGGTGAAACCTTAAGGTGGGAAAACCAATTATCTTAAAGATTAAAAAAATATTTTTACTTTCTGGATATGAGTGTATTGCCTGCATGTGTGTACATGCACCCATATTGTGCAATGTCTGTGGAGGTCAGAAGAAGGCATCAGATCCCCTGGAACTGGAGTTATAGAGTGTTATTAGCTGCTGCGTGGGTGCTGGGAACTGAACCCGGTCCTCTGCCAATGCTTTTAATCACCAAGCCATCTCTCCAGCCCTGGAAAACAATTAGCTTTATATCCTCTTTCACATCTCATGTGCCATTTTGCCTGGATTCTGTCCTTCTTCATCACTTAATATAACCCTTTCTTGGTCTCCATTCATCCTAAATGTAATACTATGTCCATATTTACAGTTCTTTACATATAAACATATACATAATAGGCTAAGATCTGCATAAAAGGGAAAATATGTTTTTCTGACTTTGGTTGACATCCTTAATATACATTCTAAGTCCATCCATTTTCCTGAAAATTTCATGATTTCATTTTTTTTGGTGAATAGCATTCCATTTGTATATGTACCATATTTTCACTATCCAGGGACATCTATGTTCATTCCATTTGCTTGATATTATAAGGAAAGCAGCAGTAAACATGGATGACAGATACTATAGAGTGGTAGAATATGTCGTTCTCTGGACTAGCTAGGTTACATGTTAGTTTGACTTCAATTTTTAAAAAAATTTGCTTATTTCATGTGTCTGAGTGTTTTGCCTGCATGTAAGTGCACCTGTGTGTTGCAATGCGTAGGAGGCCAGAAGAGGGCCTCAGTTCCCCTGGAACTGGAGTTACTAATGGTTGCTAGTCAACGTGTGGGTGCTGGGAATTGAACCCTGGTCCTCTGCAAGAGCAGTCACTGCTCTTAACTGCTGAGCCATCTCTCCAGCCCCTTGTTTTGTTTTTTGAGGCAGGGTCTCCCTGTAGCCCAAGCTGGCCTCGAACTTGCTATGTAGAACGGGTTGGCCTCTATCTAACAGAGAGATCCACTCCCTGCCTCTGCCTCCCCAGTGCTGGGATTAAAGGTGTGTGCCATCACACCTGGCGACTTTCATTGTTTTATATGATCAAAGAATTCAACAGCTCTTTGTTCACAATGGAACAGAGTTTCCCTTTACAGTCCTACGTCAGCTTTCCTCCTCCATTTTGCCTTTACCTGTGTTGTTTCTCATACATGGAATGGCTGTCCTGACCACATATCCTCTTACTCAACATGGGGGGTGGGGGTGTCAAGGTCTTGACAGTATGTAACCTAAGCTCACATCAAATTCTTCATCATCCAGTTTCAGTTTCCCACATTCTGGGATTACAAGCATGTACCACCATGCCCAACTCTTCCTGAACTTTTAAGAACTACCTTAATATTCCACTACTCCCAATAGCAGTCCAATACACCATGGTACCAGCCCCAACATCTTCGGAGCTCTTGATGTTTACAAAATGCATCTGCCTGAGGATTCAGCAGAACTGGCTTCATGTTATTGTGAAGCCCTCCTCCTTGGACCCTGCCCTGGACTCCCAAGACCCCTGCCCCTCTTGAGGACTAACTGCTCTTTTTCGCTTCTGTAAACTGCTTGATTGCTTGATTGAAGGGACAAACTGTATTGACCCCATTTTGACTAGCTGTTTCAGGCAAGCGTGAACATGCCCAGGCATATTGTACTCTCCACCTGCCACCCCCACCCCAGGAGGCTAGAGGTCAAGCAAGCCCAGACATATAGCAGCCTTATAAGGTAGAAACAGAGACTTCTGGCTCTACAGATAACAGCACATTCCACAGCTCTGAGGGTAGCACCCACCAATGAGAAGCCCCCAGGACTGCATCCCCTATAACCAATCAGTTCAAAAGTGTGTTGGTGTGTGCGGGCTCCTAGGGACAATCAAAGTGTGACTCTGTTATTCCCCTCTTCCCTTTGTCCAAAACCTATAAAGTGCTTCTACCCCCCTGTGATGGGGCTCTCAGCACAGATCCATTGCATTGGTGAGGTCTGAGAGCCCGAGCTTACGCCCGAATAAAGACTCTTTGTTCTTGCATGCCCTCTGGATTCCGTGGTTGTTCTTGGGGGTCCGTTCTCTGGGCACAACATTTGGGGTCTCATCTGGGATCCCCAAGACCCCCCCCCACGGGACCCCAGAGTGCTGAGTCTGCCTGATTTGATCGGTGAGTGTCTCTTTGTGTCTTTTGTATTTGCGTGCATCTGGTTTTTGGGCCCAGTTTGAGATTGCCTGTTGGAGGTCTAGGCGGATGCGCTGGAAGGCCCCAGGCCGTGAGACTCAGGAGATGTCCAGGACCCACCTGGTGGGGATTGGATCCCCTTGGTAAACTTGGAAGGACGAAGTGGGTTGCGCCTGCTGGGAGGCGAGAGGCCATCATCCTATTTTCAGTTTAAGGCACCAACTGTGTGTTGATTTTCTGTGCATTTGTGCTCTTTGTTGTGTTTGTGACTCTTACTGCATTAGAAGAGATGGGATAGAACCAAGTAACTCCCCTTAGCCTTTTCCAGGATCACTTCTCGGAGTTCAAAGCCCAGGCTGATAGCCTGGGGTTAAGAGTAAAGAAAGGGAAGCTTTTTATGTTTTGCAGGAATGAATGGCCGACCTTTGGGGCCGGTTGGCCTGAAGAAGGGACGTTCGACCTGCCCACCATCTACAGAGTAAAGGATATAATTTATGGCCGTCCAGGCCACCCTGATCAGGTCCCTTACATCATGACTTGGCAGGTTATGGTGGAGGAGCCTCCAAAATGGTTAAAGCCGCTCCTTCCTCTTTGCCCCCCTCCAAAGCCAACCATCCTTACCCTGCGAGGATGGGCAACAGAGAAATGAAACTAAACCCTCTGCCCATCTCTACCCTGTCTTGCAAGGAGGCACAGGGGAAGAACTTCTGCTTGAGCCACCCCCCTATCAGCTTGTCCCACAAGCAGAGCCTCAGGACACCCTGGGGGAGGCGGAGGCAGCCTCACCCCAGGAGACCGAAGAACACCCTCCCCAGACACGGAAGAGGGTCCAAAGGGGGCAGCCATGGCTGGTGGCAGACTCTACTGTCCTCCCCCTCTGGGCTGTGGGGCTGCTCACTGAAGCAGGGGACCAACAGATGCAGTATTGGCCATTTGCAACTAGCAACCTCTACAACTGGAAGCTGCAAACAGCTAAATTCTCTGAAAAGCCCCAAGGTCTAATTGATTTGCTAGAATCTGTTTTGTTTACCCACCAGCCCACCTGGGATGATAGTCAGCAGCTTTTGCAGGTCCTGTTCACCACTGAAGAAAGAGACTGGATCTGGGTTGAAACCCGCAAGCTGGTCCCTGGGGTGGATGGGAACCCCACCACCAGTCAGGCCCTGATAGATGAAGGCTTTCCCCTGGTTAGGCCGAATTGGGACTTCAATGTGGCTGAAGGTAAGGAGAGGCTCCAGGTCTACCCCCAAACTCTAATGGGGGGGTCTCTGGGTGGCTGCAAGGCATCCCACCAATTTGGCCAAGATTAGTGATGTGCAGCAAGGGAGGGCAGAATCACCCGCAGCATGCCTAGAAAGGATCCTTGAGGG